AATAGTGGTAATGGCAATAGCAACAACAATAACAATAACAATATCAGTGCTAATAGCAATAGTAATAGCAACAATAATATCATACCTGAATTAGTCAAAGAACTCAAGAATGAGTTGTATAAGGATATTGTTGCTGAAGAAATGGATAAGAAGAATAAGAAGAATGACATATCAGAGATGATACAGGATGCACTAAGGGAGAAGGACGAGGAGAGAGGGGGTGGAAAGAATGGGCCTAAAATAGACTTAGGATAAATTGATCAGTAGATAAGCTTATCAGTCAATACTACTTGCATGGCAAACCAGTGCTCTTCATGCACTCCTGGACATGGAGAAGGAAGCTGTTTCTTCGCTTGTCTACGACACTCAGCTCCTGATACTTCAACTGGTAGTCCACAACCAGTGCCACTTCCACAGTCTCCATGTCGATGATTCTGACGTCATTGAAATACGGCCTAGAGGTGAAAGTTGACTTGTGGGAGTCGTAATACGCCTTGATGCTCTTCAGGAAGGAGTGAGACCGCCCCTTGAACTCGTCAATGGCGTACTTGAAGACGTACTTCTCCTCCAGTGACTCGCTTAGGGTGAAATTGGTCGTGGCCTGGTCGTACAACTTGTCATTTGAAATTGACACAACCAAGTTGTTCTTCTCAAACGTGGTGCTGAGGAGGTTGATGTGCTGGACGACGAAGACATCTCCGCCTATCTCAACACAGTCGCCCACCTCGAATGATCGGATGAAGAAGACGAATGCGAGAGCAATCAGGAACTTCTTGATGACGTCACTGAAGATGTACGACCCAGAAATGATGGCCGTGAAGTAGGCGACTGAGTTCTTCTTGAGCTGCTCCGAATTTGAGGAAGAAAGGACGCCCAGGATGATCAGGAGACAGAGAACGGTCATTGCGCCATTCAGGGAGCCAATTGAGGAGTCCGTCTGCGTCCTGGTTGCGTCCAATGCCTCGTGCTCCTCGAATGTCTTCCTGTAGAAGGCAGTGAGCTCGTGGCGGCTGATTTTGTAGTCTCCGCTTGGGTCTCCAAATGCAAAGAGGCGTTCTGCGTCCTCCTCGCCCAGCACCTTGACACTTTCGGTGTAGTATACGCTTCCATCGTCCCTGCCCATCTTCAGCACCACTGCGTCCACCACTTGGTCTACGGTTGTATCCTCACCAGCCCCTGCAATTTGGTTGAGTCGCCTGAGCAGCCCCAGTTTCAGCTCATTCAGAGCATTCTTCTTGAAATAGACCTTGTTTCTGATATTGTACTCGAGAGTGAAGAGCAGGGCACTCTTCACCAGCAGAATCGTAACAATGATCATTGCCTTGCTTAGCACAGCATCCTGGTACTGGACTTGCATCCCGAATATCCAGGCGTAGTTTTCAGGCAGAACTGGCTTCTCTGCCTTGGCGTATTCGGTGACCATTTTGTGGTACTTGGTGATTCGGGCTGCAACGAGTGGGAAGAGGAGGAATGCGCCAATTAGGCCGCAATGGAACTTGTACTTGTTCAGGAGGACGAACCAGAAGAACTTGTTTGACTTGGTGTTATCCAGGTCACCGTTAGCCAGGTAGTGGAGGACGAATTGGACGAGGGTGACGATGGTGGCAATGACAGTGAGGAGGCCGATGAGAAGAGTGCCGTAGAAGAGGGCGTAGAAGAGGAGAGGTGGCTTCGTGGACGAGTCATCTGGCATGCGGGAGTCAGTCAGTCTGGCAAGCACCTCGTAGAAGAAGGCGAGACCAGCAGTCAGAAAGATGGTGGAAATGGTGAATATGGCTGGAACCCTCTTTTCGTCGATGTACTTGAACTGGGCCTTCTGCTTCCCAAGCATCTCCGAAACCACTGACGTGGCCGGAGAGAGGCCAGGCTGCCTGCTTCTGGTGCTCTTTAGGCCGCGTAGCTCAGTTGGGTCTGCTACGTTGCTTGGCATTTCTGGTGGCAATCAGGCAGTTTTATACTGAAAACAGCCAATGGCTGTGATCTGGTCAATTAAGCTTATTTTGTCAGAGTATAAATAGTTTCAGACCCCTCTTTAGTGGCATAGGAAACTAGCCAACTGAAGACGAGCAGGGTGCTGGTGGCGAGGCGTGTCTCGTCCTAAAGGGCGTGATACGCCCCTGTAAAGCGGTGGGCACCGCATGAGGAGGGAAACCTAGCAATGAAAACCACCCACATTGGCAAGTCCTGTTCATTTTCTACCATTTCCTATTCAACCAATTTACTTGTCATTCTTCACCTCATTTCTGGTGGTCCACAGTGTCAGATTGTCTCGAAGCAGCTGGAGCATCAAGGTGCTGTCCTTGTAGTGCTCCTCCTTGAGCCGATCCAACTCGGAAATCCCAGTCTCAAATGCCTCCTTAGCCAACTTGCATGCTTCTTCTGCGTCATTCATGATTTCGTAGTAGAAGACTGAGAAGTTGAGGTGGAGACCAAGTCGAACTGGATCAGTAGGCGGAAGTGTCTCGGCGTACTTCCTTGCCTCGCTGTACGAATCCAATGCCCCAGAAGCAGCCTTCTTCCGTGCCTCTCCCTCGCATATCTCAGCCCTGTATCTCAGGTAGTCGCCCTTCATCTTCGTCACAAACACCTTGCTCCCAGTCTCCTGAATCTCATCAGCCCTGAAATACTTCTCAATCGTATCAAGCACCCTTCCAATGTACGTCTCTAACTCACCCCGCACCTTCTTCAATATCCCATCAATCACCACCGCATCATCTGGGCTCTTCTGTCTCTCACTTTGTAGCATCCTCCAACTGTTCCTCTTCTTCCCTACGATGTTCTTGAAGGCGAGACTGAAGAAGTTTCTGTTTTCTGAATCCATCTCAATGTGCCCATCGTGAGCCAGTCTGATTGCATCCAGAATGTGTTCAGCCATGTCCTCGTATCTCTCTGCCACGTCAGAGTAGTATGCTCGTCTGAGTGCCTCATTGTATTCACCACTCCTCTTGCTGCTCTCTACCATGTGGGTGTTTTGTAGTTTGTTTTATTGTTTTACACCTGTTTTATTGGTGTTATTGGGCGTACTGATTTAGTCCAATGATTAGTAGCCCATGACAGGCGCATCTCACAAAAAGGAGAGAGGCAGAACAACAGGAATGGAATACGGTGACAACTCAAACGCATCCCATGAGACTGCTGGTGACTCAATCAAGTACTTCTGTGATAACAGGAACTTCAAGTACAGGGAAAAGGGAAGAGGAGAGGATGAGTTGGACTTGATTACGTGTGGGACGTACATGAAGAAGAAGAATACGATCAAGAAGTGGACTGAGGAGGAGACTGAGCAGTTCTATGACGCATTGGTGACATGTGGATGTGACTTCAGTCTCATGGAAATGGTATTCAAGGATAGAAATAGAAAGAATATCAAGGACAAGTACGTGAAAGAGAGTAGGACGAATCCAAAGAGAATAGAGGAAGCATTGGGTAGACACACTAATAAGAATAGTAGGTAGTTAGTCAGACTACTCCTACAACCACTCTAATTATTGTAATCCCCTTTGACTACCATTTGTACCCCTGATGAATTCAATAGAACAAAAGTGTCCAATCAATATTAATCCATATGACATACCATTTGGACAGTGTGTCTACTACACCACACTCACAGTCTACGTGTTCGTGAAATACCTCAAACAGCACAATATAGTTGGTAAACTCGACTTGATCATCAGAATGAGCCATAGCATCGATATGCTACTCGATGCAAATGGACTATACTCATTCTACTACGGTATTCTGGTTCAATACGACAATCTGATATTCCTGGTGCTTCTTTCATATGCTCTATCAGAGTACAGCCAGAATATCAATATGCTGGAATACTACAGAAGTCATGTCTCAATACCAGATATACCACGATGCTACTACTTCACCTACAACTGCATATTTGGAACATACCTGGTTGTGGTACTACGGATGATTGGAACAGCATCAAGACTGATATCAGAGAAGTACGCTCACATCCACAGGAGACTGATCACCAAACTCACTACCACCGTAACAACATTCAACCTGATATTGATCACGTTATTCTGGCCACTCTACTTCTACGACCCAATTCTGGTTAAACCGTATTATACCCTGATTGATGGGCTGAATACCCCACCATTTACTGAGATATCAATGCATCTGCTCCCATTTATGATCTGTATTTGGATGTACAGGGAGATTAGAACACCACCAGATCACACTGATAGGATACTACTCGTTTTGGGCGGAGTCTATGCTACAATAATGCTATTGATATGCAAATATACCACTGGAATATTCCCATACCTATTTCTGAATGAAATGGGTCCAACTGGATTCCTGTTTCTGAGTGTGATTATCAGTCTAATTGGAATGATACTACAGGTTGTGCTCTATAGGTACGTATCCAGTTACTAAATTATTGGTTATACACCACTATTCTAGTTCCTCTACCAGGTAATCCCTTGTTACTTCCCTATTTCTTATTTTGATAAACCCCATGTCTCTCAGGTCTTCTATTACATCACAATAATCGTAATGCGGTAGTATTTCGATGCTATTGATCTTACACTCCCTCTTTACGTCATTGTATAGACCAACTCCATCCATTTTGTTACTCTCTGACATATTGATCACTCTTATTACCATTTTCTGATACTTGTTAAGCAACCTGTGATACCTCACTATGAGTGGTTCATAGTACTCCTTGATCTTCTTATTCATTCCCTGGATGTCAGGTGCACCATCTTCCAACAAATCACGTGCTTTACGAATGTCTCCAGTTCCCCCTGCCACTTTTTTTGCTACGAATTTGTTCACTAAATTTGTACTGTTTTCTTTCTCTGAATTCTTAGATTGGTTCAGAATCCGCTCCAACTGATCTGCTGTATACGCCTTGAATTCAATTCTATTCTTCCCTATTCTACTCTCCACCTTGCTACTCAGTCTTCCCAGTCTATTTGAAAGGAGTATCAGTAGCATATTCGTACTCAAATAAGGCAGCTCAAATAAGTTGTAGACAACTCGCTCATTCTTATTGAGAAGGAAATCTACTTCGTCAACAACTGCAATGTGCATACAGCTGTCTACAACTGTGTGACGTCTCAGTTCTTGTAGTCCACTTTTATGAGTGTTTATGCAACATGATTCTGGATAATTCTTTAGTATTTCCTTGTAGATTTGTGTCTTACTGTTTAGTACAGTACAATTGGTGTATGATACCACGACATTAGTTTTACTAGTAATATTCTTTACTGCCTCATTGACTGTGTGTGTCTTACCGGAACCAGGTACTCCTGAAATGTATAGGATTCCTCCCATTTTATTGGTGATGAAATTGGTTATTTGGCTCTCTATTTGATCGTATTCATGTTCTCTACACAAAACAGTGTTTTTGGCTGTTTTTCGTAATTTCACCATGGGGTAAAATGATATGACTTGCTTGAGAAATTTACCAGTGACAGGTTGATAGTTGTTCTAGAAAATTGATTGGATTTGATTCGTAATGAGTGGTTTAGTATATGAACTATATAGAGGAAAGTAAATTGACGCTGATGTAATAATGACAGTAAAATTGATCGCAATAGTATATAAGAAAAAAGGGTAATATCCCCTATGAAGTATGAGAAAAGAACATGGATGATAATTGGATCAATTACCGTGATAGTGCTACTAGGAATAGTAGTAGGGGTGATATTGGGCGTGAAGAGAAAAGATAAACAGTCAAATGCGAACAAAAAAGGAATCGAGGTAAAAAAACCAGAAACCCCTAAAACGCAAGACAAACCAAAAACGCAATCAGAAAACCCAAGCACGAAATCGAACCCAAGTCAAACATCTAAAACAAGTTCAGACTCATCAGAAGAAGCAGAATCATCAGAAGCAGTAGTGTCANAAAAAAGGGTAATATCCCCTATGAAGTATGAGAAAAGAACATGGATGATAATTGGATCAATTACCGTGATAGTGCTACTAGGAATAGTAGTAGGGGTGATATTGGGCGTGAAGAGAAAAGATAAACAGTCAAATGCGAACAAAAAAGGAATCGAGGTAAAAAAACCAGAAACCCCTAAAACGCAAGACAAACCAAAAACGCAATCAGAAAACCCAAGCACGAAATCGAACCCAAGTCAAACATCTAAAACAAGTTCAGACTCATCAGAAGAAGCAGAATCATCAGAAGCAGTAGTGTCAAATAAAACACCATCAGCAGCACCAAATTCAGACCAACTAAGATCAGATTCACCAAAAGCAGAATCAGATTCAGACCAATTAAGATCAGATTCACCAGTAATAGCACCAAATTCAGACCAATTAAGATCAGATTCACCATCAGAGGCACCGGATTCAGACCAACTAAGATCAGATTCAGCAGTAACAGCACCAAATTCAGACCAATTAAGATCAGAATCAGTAGTAGGATCAGACTCAGGTAAAACAGCAGAAATAGTAGAATTAGATTCAGATAAAACATCGGAACAAGCAAGAATAGAAAACAAGAATGAACCACTAGCACCAAAGTCAGTCTCATCAGATTCAGAAATCAATAATGAACGAGTGGCACTAAAACTGGAAACCAATAATGGACCACTAGAAGAAAAGAAGTCTGTCTCATTAGATTCAGAATCATCAAATTCAGAAATCAATAATGAACGAGTGGCACTAAAACTGGAAACCAATAATGGACCACTAGAAGAAAAGAAGTCTGTCTCATCAGATTCAGAAATCAATGATGGACCACTACCACTAAATCTAGAAATCAATAATGAATCACTAGCAACAAATGTGGAAACCAATAATGGACCAGTAGCAGATAGTAAAGAATCAGATCAGCTAAAAGCAGATAGTAAAGAATCAAGTAAGCTAGCAGCAGATAGTAAAGAATCAAGCGCACTAACAGCAGATAGTAATGAATCAAGCGCACTAGCAACAAATGTGGAAATCAATAATGGACCACTAGAAGAAAAGAAGTCAGAATCATCAGATTCAGAAATCAATGATGGACCACTAGCAGAAAAGAAGTCAGAATCATCAGATTCAGAAACCAATAATGAATCACTAGCAACAAACGTGGAAATCAATAATGGTGCACTAGCAGATAATAATGAATCAAGTAAGCTAGAAGTAGATAGTGAGGAATCAAGTCAGCTAGATTTAGATAGTGAGGAATCAGATCAGCTAGAAGCAGCTAATAGTGAATCAGATACTAA